AAAGAGAAACATTTGAAACATTAAATGAATCTAATGTATTAATTTATTATCAATTTAAGATGCCAGTTGTTTCTAATAGAGATTATGTCTTTAGACAATCAACACGTAAAGTAGGGGATGATTACATCTTATACAATTTCTCTGTTGTTCATGACAAATTCCCTCCAAATCCAAAATTTGTTAGAGCTTCATTCTCTATGAGTGGGTATTATATTCAGAAAACTGAAAACGGATCTAAGGTTACTTGTATTGCTAATAATAATTGTGGTGGTTCTCTTCCTTCTTTCCTTGTCAACTCTCAAGCTAAAAATGTTCTTCCAAAAACTATGGACTCAATTAAAGTTGCTACAACAAAATATAATGCCTGGAAAGAAAAGCATAACCCTGACGTAAAACCATGGAGAAATATTGTTGAGCCCACAGAATAAATAACTCCTTTTTCTAATTATGGTTTTTCTTTTACAAAAAGATTCTCTTTTTCTATGCAAAGAATAAACCAAACAAATATTGTCATTATATTGAATAAGTTGTTGGGTTTTGTAAGAAAAGAAAACAAAACAAAAACGTTCAGATATTTACAGAAGAATAAACTTCAACTGCAATAAAAAATATAATAAAAAAGAAGTAAAAAAATTATCAATGAAAAAGTGAATAAGAAAAATATTAAAATATAATAATAATAAAGAAAAAATCCAAAGAAACAGAAAATTATATTATTTAAGTATTAAAATAAATCTATTTTCAAAAAAAGTTAATTTTTAAATAAAAATTATCTTAAACATTGTTAAATTCATATTATAATATTATTAATCACTGTTAATTTTTTATTTATCATTAAGTAATTCTTCTTTTTGTTCACTTGGACAAGTGACAACTTCATTTTTATTTTGAGGGAGTTGGTTAGTATAATGATGTGTTTCATTCTTTGATGAGTTATTTTCTTTATCAATAGAGTCTAAATATTGGTTATATCGTTTTAAAAATATTTCAAAATAGAAATTAGCACCATTCCAAACAGCCCAAAAGAAACAGAATAACATCCACACTATATGAAGGGATTTATATTTATAATATAAAAATGTTGGAAGAATAGTAATAATAGTATAAATGAATTGGGTTAATACCATAAGGAATAATACTGATTGTTTCATTCCTAACGTTTGAGTAATAAAGTAATACAATTTATGAGGTCTTTCTTGTGTTAACCATCTAAAACTTGTCATATAACCTTCTTGATAAATTAAATCATGTTTAAATACTTCAGTAATAATTAAGTAAGAGGTTTGCCATATTGAATAAGCAATCATTGGAAAAATAAATCCATTTGTAAATGAAAGTGATTGGGGAATTTCAATAATATTTCCCCATCTAATAGAATATGTCACCATAGCAGGAAGGAAGTGAATTGATATAGAAGTTAATTTAGTTAAGTCATGAAAGACTAATGAATTAGTCCAAACTGGGATAGCCATTAATAATGGACCATTTGTTAAAACAAATAAAATTTCATACATTGGTGAAATAATTTTAAATCCAAAGATAAGGATAGTTGTTACTAACAATAAGAAATTAGTGTAATAACAGAAATCTAACAAAAAATAATGCCATTTATTCATTCTATAAACTAAATACCTTGCTGTTACTAATGGAATTACAATAAATGCATAAAATACTGGCATTAATTCTGCACGAACCATAAAAACATATTCTGAAAGAACTAGTAATGCTACTCCAAGAACAAATGTTACTTTGTCTAAAAAAACAATATTTATTTTTTTATTTAACCCTTCATCAATTGGTTTAACGATTTCTTTTGACGCTCTTAATCCACTTCTTATAGAACTTCCTAATAATCTTTTATTCATATTATACTCAAGAGACAAATAATCTATAACTGTTGATTGGTCAATCTCATTAATAAATTCTTGTGACTGTTGGTTTTCATGATCATCGAAATTATCTTTTGATGAATCTTCTTTCATATTATTATAAATGCACAAGAAAGGTTTTAAAGTTCTTTTTATACTTTGATTAGTCCATTTGTCTTATTTCTTTTCCTTTCAAAGAACTTCGTAATGTAATTTAATATTTTTAATGATTTTTTTATTTTTATTTATTAACATTTTTTTATTATTATTATTTTTAAATCAAAAAATTTTTTTAATAAATTTAAAAAAACTTAAAAATCATAAAAAAAAAAAGGGATTTTTTGTTATAATAATGAGTGATGGAAATGAGATAAATAATCATTATCCAGATTTCTTGAATAAAGACTTTGTTCAAGTTAGGCAATTAGATAAAGGAGCATTTGGGAAAATATTTGTTGCACGAAGAAAAGATGATTCTAAAGTATATGTCTTGAAAATGATGTTTGGAATGACAGACAAAGATATTGAAACAATTAGAGATGAAGTAATTGTATTAGCATCAATTAATCATAAAAATGTTGTGAGATATTTAGATGCATGGATTGAAACTATGGGAATTGAAGAGTATAATACTTATTATAAAAGTATTGAAAGTGATTCAGAAAGTAATAGTGAAGAATATTTAATTCATAGCAATAAAGAGGATGAACATTTACAATCATTTTCAAGTAGATTAAATGAAGTCTCTTCAAGAAAACCACAAGGAGATTTTAAGATTGGAATAATTCCATTTAATGACGATGACGATTTTGATGAAGATGACTTTCAAGAGCAACAATGGGATATTGAAGAAGATAGTGATAATATTAATAATGATATTCAATGGGGATTTGATGAAGATTTCGATAAAGAAAATCCAAATAGTATCAATGAAATGAATCAAAAAAGTAAAGGGTTTGGAAGTAATGAAGAAGAAGGTGATGACTATGAATATATTACTGTAAGTGATAGTGATGAAGATTATTCTCAAATATCTGAGCTTGAAACAAATAAAGAAGAACCAATTAAATTAAGTGGAGAAATTACAAACAAAGAAATAGAAGAAAGAAAAATTAAACAAATTAGTATTGATAAAACCAATGTACAATTAAATGAAACGTTAAGTGAACGAGTAAAAGTAGTGGTAATTCAAATGGAGTATTGTAGTGGAAGTAATTTAAGTAGGATTATCGAATCACAAGAACTTCACTATTCGAAGAAAAATGCTAATGAAAAAATAAATTTTTATTTTAAACAAATTATTACAGGGATTCAATATATTCATTCAAAAAATATTATTCATGGAGATCTTAAACCTGCAAATATATTTAGGGATGGTGACATATTAAAAATAGGTGATTTTGGATATGCTTCAATGGCAAAAAATAGAAATAAATGTAAATTTGTTGGAACACCAGGATATACTGCACCAGAAGTTTCAAGTGGAAATTATGATACTTCAATTGATATTTATAGTCTTGGAATAATTCTTCTTGAGATGTGTATGAGTTGTGTTACAAGATCAGAATTTATTCTTGGAATTGAATTAATTAAAAAAAGGCAAATTAATGAAACGGTTAGTAAATATTTTCCTCAATTAAGTCAATTAATTTTAAATATGACTGAGTTTGATCCAAAAAAACGTCCAGATGCAAATCAAATACTTGAAAAAATTAGTGGAATGGAAGAAACCCAAAGGAAATTAGAATATATTAAACCGTTACTACAAAATCATAGTTCAATATTCCAAAGTATTGTTAATAAAGCTACATGTCAAATTAATAATAATTGTGTATTTAGGGAACAATATATTCAATCAATTAAATTTGTTGAAGATCAAACAAGAGAAATTAATAAAAAAATTGGAGCTATTAATTGTTTCTTTTATCCAATTATTCCTTTTAAATGGATTGCCGATGAAACAGTAACAAGTCCAATGATGAATAACTCAGATAATGAATTACTTGTTATTTTAAATAATTTTGTTGATTTAATGAAAGTGATTATGATAAATAGAAAGAAAATAAGTACAACAAATACACCATTACATATTCAAATTCCATTATATGAATTAGGAAGTAATGACGTAATCAATTTTGCCTCAATTATGTTTATTAAGCCAAGTAGTGATGAATCAATTATATTTGATATGTGTGATGTTTTACAAGAAGTTAATGAAATAATGAAAAGGTGTTGCAATATAAAATATAAAATAATAATTTCTAATTCACAAATCAATGATATTATTGTAAGACTACCAAAGATAGAACAAAATAAATTATTTAATGGAGAAAATACAATGAAAAGTACATTAAGATCTTTAAAATTATTAAAGAAAAATAAAATATTTTCAAATGATTCATCAATTCAAATAGTTTTAGATAATTTTATTCAACAAATAAAAATGTATAATGAATTATTTGATGATTGTATATTATATTATAGTTCTAATATCCATACGTTTAATGATCAAGACCCATCTGTCATTACATTTGAAGTTAATGTTAATGATATTAATGTTATTACTGGTGGTTCTTTAAGAAGAATTGGAGTTGATTCAAGAGAAGCAAGTGTTGGATATTTATTTAATGTTTCAGTAATGGCCATGTGTTGTGAACCATATTTAGTTGAAGAGTATATAAAACAACAACAAAAAGAAATGATAAAAGTAATAATTGAAACACCAAATAATATTTTAAAAGAAATGATTGGATTATATTTTGAACGAAGTGGATTTAAAGTTATTGATAAAAGTGAATCTGAAATAAATGCAAATCAATTAGTAAAAGTTAAAGTAAATGAACAAAATTGTATTGTCACATTTGATGAAATAGAATTTGGGTCTATTCAATTATCAATTCAAATATATGAAAAAAATAAGGTTTGTATAGCTCGAGATAACATGAATATTCTTGATGCTATTGAATTTTTAAAAACACTCCAACGTCATAAAATTGATAAAAATCAAATTTCTTTTAGAATTGCAGAATTTGATAAAGAGATAATCCAAGAAAATAAAGAAAAAATTATTGTTAAAAATAAATTTATTCCTGTTATTCCTTTACAAACAAATTATATTAAAATGATTATGGAAAATGGAATTAGAACTACTTTAAATGAAATTCAAAAAGATAAACATTTCGATAAAATGACTTTTAATAAAATAACTGAAAAAGTTAAAATGGTTAATTCTTTTATTACTTCAATAGCTTTTACCATTAGTTCTCCAAAAATTATTATATTTTATTCTTCTATTGATGAAGAATATGTTACACTTGTAGTTCATCCTTCAAACCCTCAAAAATTATAATTTTTCTTTGTAATTCTATTTTTTGTGTTTCTCTCCTCTTCTTCTTTTCTAACAAAAGCAAAAAAAAACAAAGAATGAGGGTTGAAAATGAAATCAGCTCAAAAAGTTTGTAACAGTTTTTTATATTTTTTGTCATTTTTAGTAATAAAACTTCATTAAGAAAAAGAACTTAAAAGTGTTAATTTATTTACATGAAGTTTGTTTTAATTTAAAACTAAATAATCACACAAAGGACTACAATAAAATATTAATTACTTTAGAAGTAATAAAAAAGATAAAACGTTAATGGAGAATAAAGAAATTCTTTATAGTACATTGATTAGTATTGATTTTATTGAACGTATGTTTGTTAATAGTACGATTAATTATGAAAAATATGTTCAGTTGTGTAATCAAGAATTTGAAAGATTTATTCGTATCTATCCATTATGTCAATTTAACAGTATCAGTGAAATGTATGATTCATTTGAATTAGAACATGGTTTAGGATATCAACGAGTAACTACAGGAAAACCAACCATTATTCAACATAAAATAATTTCAAATGGAAGGTTGATTATTGAAGTTACAACAAATATTCTTTCAATTATTAATTTTGATTTTATGAAAATTTATGATCTTCAAGAGTATTTACGATTATTAAATGCGATTAATGTTCAATTATCTCCATTTGAAACTAAAAATGTTCAATTTGAACAAAACAAAAAAGAATTAAGAGAATTTGAATCTCGCCTAAAGGGATATAAAGTTGGTGATGTTGATAAGTTGGCTACAGCATCAACACAGTTAGTTCATTTACTTAATTCTACTCTAAATGTCTTTAAAGAAATAAATAATTGAAATGATTCAAAGTCTTTCATAATTTTTGAAGAAAAATAAAAAATAAAAAAATAATAAGAAAAAGAACTTATAACAACAATGAGTGAAGGAATTAACGAGGAATCAAAAATTCTTACTTTAGCCCAAATACAAAGACCATTTCTTATGGATGGGAATGTAGTTTTATTTGTTAAAAAATGGAAAAAGAGATATGTTGTATGGAAAGATGATAAATTATTTTTCTTTGAAAAGAATTATGGAAAAGAAGTTCCTAAAGAAGTATTTATAATGAGTAGTGACACTACAATGACAACAGAAATAGACCAAAAAGAAAAAAAGAATGTTGTTAGATTTAAAGGAGTTTCAGGTGAAATTATGATATTAGCTGATGAAAGTATTTCATTTATTGAAATGGCATTTAAATTATTTAAAACTAATTTAGGTTGTGAAAAAAAGAAAGAAGAAATTGAAAAATTAAAAGGATTTCAAAAAGAAACTGAAGAAAATAAAATTCCTCCTTGGGAAGAAATTAAAAATAAAATAAATATTAAAAGTAAAATTAATGGAAAAGAATTACAATTATTATTTAAAGAATTAGGAAAAACAGTAACAGAACAATATTTTTATTCAATTGTAAAAGAAATAATTTGTCAATGGAGTGATGATGAAATTATAGAATTTGGATATCAACAATTCTGTGAAGAAGATTTAGAAGATTTTGGTTCATTGTTTGGAGGAAGAGATAGTTCTTCAACTGAAATTCAATTTGTATTAGGAACAAATGAAGAAAATATACTTAGATTACTTGAAATTTATATGAAAATATATAAACAATTTAAATTGGAATGGAGTGAATTAACAAAATGTTTATTAGTAGCAATGGCATGTTGGGAGTTGTTTTCAAATACTGAATTATTTAATGTTATAGTTATTTACTTGAGCAAACAATTTGATATTTATCAACTTTTAACATTCTTACACCTTTATTGTGAATTTGAATCTGATTTAAACTTACCGTTATGGTCTTCATTCCCTTCTCATATAGAGTTATTATTCAAATCGTTTGATTTTATTTTTTATTTCTAACTAATATAAAAATGTCTTATTATTATAGAATTTGTTCTTCTTGGACTCTTGAGCAAAAAAATTTACTTATTTCAATAATTGATGACACTTGGGAATGGACACAGCAACAAATAAGTGCATTAAAATCTTTGTTAATCCCTTCGTAAATACTTTTCAATTATTCTTTATTCACGTCTTTATTTCTCTTCTTTTTTGATTCTTTTCTTTAGTTATTTATATCAAATATGTAGATAGATCTTTAAATAAAAAACTTTGAAATTAAATGGAAGAAATCAAACGACCAATTGAATATTTTAGAAATGCTTTATTTAAATACTTTGATAAATATCTTCGAGAAATTACATTAAACAAAGGAATGGTTAAAATGTCTCTGCCTTTAGCAATGTTTTTGAGTGGTATTTCTTTTGATGTTTATGCTGAAAATGAAACTATTAAAGCTGAACGAGATGAAGTATTCAAATATTTAAATAAAGTTCAAATAAAATCTCTCTACAACAAACATCATAGAAATAGTGTTAATCCACTTTCATTCATTCTTACATCAAATGTCAATGAATTGATCCTTTCAGACATTCCTTCAACATTTATTTTAACTGATCAAATTAGTCATCATCTTGTTAATCTTAAAGTAGAAAATTGTCCTTTTAATTTAGGTTCAATTAATACTGAGTGGCCTATCTTGACTCAATTAGTCATTCAAAAAGCATCTATTCGTCAAATCTCCCCATTCGTTTTTGTTTGTTATTTTTGTTGTGTTATACTAAAAAATTCTTGTCTTTAATTTATAGACAAAAACAAATTTTCCTGTTCTTAAGAAATTAGATCTTCAACACAACTGCATCAAAGTATTAGAAAATATTGATGAACGTCCTTTTGAGTTTGTTTTAATTACTTTTTCAAAAAAAAAACAAATAACTTATCTTTAAGTGAATTAATTCTTGCTAATAACCATATTCAACGTATTTCTGTTCCATTACCAGGATCAATTAGTTTACTTGATCTTTCATTCAACCAACTGACAGAAATTAAAGAAATTTCTACATTTTTTAATCTTCGAGAATTAAATCTCAGCAATAATGAAATTTACTTTAATGATGAGATGAGAGGAATCTTCAATAAAATGTATTCCTTAACAAATCTTCATTTTGAAAATAATCAAACAGTAAATTATAGACAATTACTTATTGAAGAGTTACCTTCTGTAGAACTTGGACTTAATGTGTATATTGATGGTTTATCAGTACAACCAGAAGAAAGATATCAAGCAGTTGATAAAATCTCTAGATTGGGAAGATCACATTTTGAAATAGAAAAAAATGAAGAAGAATTTACTGAAAAAATAATGGCTATTGCTAAGAGTCAAAAGGAAGTCTTAGTCATAGAAAAGAAAGACGACGTTGCCCTTGTTACTTCAGAAGCGAAAAGAGAAATGAGACTTTCTGGAAATGCTTTAATTTCTATTGGAAATGGAAATATTGAATGTCGTGTTAAATTTGGTGAAGAGGATGCAGATTTTATGATACAAGAAATTTATAAGTTAATGGAAAAACTTCAAAACAAACACCTTCGACAAGAAGTTAAATCAGAATCAACTACAGAAGAACTCATTGAACAAAAACACATTAAAACCATTGTTGCAGAAAAACAAATAGAAAAAGAACCAAATCAAACAGTTCCACAAATACTAACCCAATCAAATACTAAAGATGAATTTATTGAAGTCAGACCAGTTTTTAAAGGAATAGATATTACTTCAAGTGATATTTCTGATAAGGTGTCTTCTTCAATGCATTTTAAAAGTGTTTCTGATGCTCAACCAAAGAAACAAAAATTACCAATTATAAATACTCAATCAAATATTATTGATAATCAAGAACAAATTACTGGAGAAAGTACAAGTTCAAATAGTGTTAATGCTTCTTATATTTTTGATGAGCCATTTGAATAATTCTTTCTTCATTCAAACAGAATTGTTTTATATTTTTTATCTTTGAATTCTGTTATTTTTGACTACTCTAAATAACTTGATTTACAAATAATATATCTAAAACCTTTTTTATATTATTATTGGTTATAATCTTCTCATTTTTATGATTAATTATTAACTAAATATTCTCCATTATTAGATAATTTTGTTTAATTTGAATAAATTCATAGTGAAAATTAAAAATATTTCTTTGTTTTATCGAAAGAAATATGAATTTAATACAACAACATATACCATATTTTCAAAATGTTTTACCATCTTTATTTTATTCAAATAAGATACTTACTTTTGAAAAATTCGTGGATGGCTATTATAATTACTTCAGCAACCAACCAATTAACTATAAACTACCGTATATCAAACAGCCTTTAATAAAATAATTCAAATAGTAGTTAATGAGTTTGTTATTGAATTACATTAAAACAAATTATTAAATTACATTATTTAAGATACAATAAGTTATAAATAAATTTAAAGTTACATAACACAAATGTAAATCTTTATAAATTAATTTAAACAGATTTTCATTAAATTTAAGAAGGGGTAGCGTATTACAAATACTATTCTTATAACACCTATGACGTAGGTTTAATAAAAAAACTACAAACGCCTATAACGATTTGTAAAAAAAGTAGTTAATTAAGTGTTAATAAATTTATTTTGTGTTGTTCATGTTCAGTAGAGATTAATCCCTTTGCTTTAAAAATGTTTACTCATCAAATATTAGTTTATTCTTTAGCTTTTGATTGTTGAGGAATGAGAAAACTATTTCCTCATCCATTTATTGTAGAATAAAGTATTTTAGATATTTCAGACTTAAGTATCATCATTTAAGTTCTGTCTATTTTTAATGTATATTATAACTTCTCTTCTTTACTTTCTTTTTTTAAGAAGATATCCTATCATATTATATTACTATAAATAATTTTTATTTTAGTATCAACCACAACAACCAGACCCTTTTTCTTTGATAATGCCCATATTATCAAATATACGTGCAATCTAACAAGTAAATAATACTATAATCTTTGTAAGTAACTGCACTTTTATAATAAATGATATTCTTACAATATTGAGTAAGATATTTTTCTAACCAAATGTAAGACCATAACCAATGATAATTGGGTATTCAATGCTTAGATTTATTTTAGGATTATGTAAGATCTCTGATGTGCTACATTCGAATTCCTAATGATATTTGTAATAAATAAAAAATTTTTTCGTTAAACAATAAAACATTTTTAATTATTACCAAATCCTTTTTAGAGTATTAATCATAATTGACTAACCAATCCAATAAATACTCTGGAGTGAAAAAAAATCGGTACAAAGTATTTGTGGTGTCAAAATTAACAAAATGATGTATAAAACCAATTTAATTAAAGAGGAATTAAATGTCCTTATTTTAAAGTCCTTAAAAAACTATTTTAAATTTAATTAATTTATGTAGTCTTAAGAAAAGGAAAATAAAACATAATTTATGTATCATTCATAATTCTTTCATTATTTTGAACCTTAAACTAGAACTTAAAAAAGTTTATTTCAAAACCCTTTATGTCACAGTCATACCACTTCAAAATTGTTTTGTTAGGACCTACTTATGTTGGTAAATCTGCTATTTCTTTTCGTTTTACTAAAAACACATTCATCACTGCATATGATCCAACTATTGAACAAACCCTTAGCAAGACAATTGAAGTTGATAACAAACAAATTTATTTAGACATTTATGACACTGCAGGATCAGTTTGTTTTGGAAAACTTTTTAACACTCAACCTTTACTTGCAACTCATAATTAAGGAACAATTTAGAACACTACATGAACTGTATATTAAAGAAGGAGATGGATTCATTTTAGTTTATGCTGTGAATGACAGTGATTCTTTTAACAGTGTCAAAGATATTTACAAAGATATTGTCAATATTACCACCTCTATGAATGAGGGTGTTACACCACTAACTCTACCACCAATAATTATTGCTGGTAATAAGTGTGACCTTGATGACAAAGTTGTGGCAACTGAAGAAGTTCAAGAATTTTGTAATGTCTGTGGTTGTGATTTTCAAGAAATATCAGCCAAACACAATAAAAATATTAGCCTAGTCTTTGAGACGTTGGCAAGACGGTTAGTCGAACAGCAAGGAAGTGTACAAAAGAAAGTTGGTTGTTCAATCTTATGATTTTCCTATTAAACAAGTATGAAAATTCATTTATTTTTAATAATAGTTTTTATTTTTTTTATTTTGACATCTTAACACCTCTCAATCTTAAAGTAACAAAAAGACACGTTTTCATAAAGAACTATTAAAAAGAATTATTAATCACTATTAACAGATGCAAAGAAATATAGAACGTTGGCCACAAAATGTTGCTGGTCCTTATTATGTTGATAAGAAATGTATTGACTGTGGGAATTGTAGAAGACATGCTCCAAATAATTTTGGTCGGATCAATAGTGAAATTCACTCTTATGTGAAAAAACAACCAACAACCCCAGAAGAGATAGAATCATGTAATAAAGCTATTGTTTGTTGTCCAGTCCATGCTATTCATAAACAAGAGCAAACTAACTAAATTAATTAAAATAAAAGAACCATTGTTTTTTATTAAATTAAATCTGTTTTTTCGATTCCAATGAATGGAGTAACTTTTCCTTCTTCTGTGTGATGGATAAACTCAAAAAAATGATCCCATTGACCATTTTTCTTAGCATATTCACCTATCTCTTGTTCAATTTGTATATATGATTGAGTACAGACAGAACAAAGATGAGAGTCTTGTTTTATGTTATAACGAGCACATACATCGTCTATTCGTTCTTGCATTGTTACTACATAGTCCCATTTTACTCTTTTATCAGCATAACAAACAATATCAATTTCTGTTAATTTCCCTGGAATTCTTATTGGATTGACGTGTTGGGCAATTATTTGACAAATTGACTCACTACACCCTAATTGTCTTGCAACACTAGCACCCGTTAATGGATGATTTTCTTTAGTAATCAAAGAACGTGTTTTAGTGATATCATGGAGTAAAGCTCCCTTGATTAAATTGGTTTTATTTACCTTACAAAGTGGTGTGATTAAGTCATAAATTTCAAGGGATAGTTGCATTACTCTATATGAATGAGAGTAAACATACATACTTGTATTTGTTGTTCTAAGCATTTTCTTACAATCACTGATAATGTCTTGACTATCTGTATCAACAAGACTCATTTATTTTTGATTAAATTGTAGTTTGAGTTTTATTCTTTCTAATGATTTAATAACAAAGAACAAAGAGAATAAAAGCTTTCTAGATAATCCAAGAAGAGAATTATAATTTAATAATATTGTTACAAATAAATATAATAAAATAAAATTTTTAAAAATTGAAAAGGAAAAAGGAACTTCAAAAAATACTCAAAAAGATGAAATCAGCCTCTCAACTTTCATGTCTCCTTCTCAAAAAACGATTTGTTCCTAAAATGAAAGACATATTAGAAACAGAGGATCAAGTGTCACACAAAGATATTGTAGAGTATATTAAAAATGGAGTAAAAGATGAAAAAATATTAAAAGAAGTGCCAAATGCTGAACAAAGTACTGTTGATGCACAAGTACTATCAGGTACTTTTACTCACACATGGCCTCCAGTCACTTCAGAAGGATGTTTAAAAGATACTATCATGTTTGTTTATATAAAAGTACAAATTGAAGGAGAAACTGCTATTGTTGCAAGAACATATGGGGTTGATGTCAGCAAAGAAATAAAACACACGTACAATCAATTATTAAGATTAGAACAGACGTTAGCAAGTAAATATAAATCAGGAATAAAAGTTGACACTAAAGTAATTGAAGTAGCAGGGTTAAGTCAGCAAGTCGAGATTATTAAAGGAGAAGAAATATTAAAAGAAGGAAGTGTTATAATGATTCGAGTTTGGAGTGGTCAATTAATGATTTGTGATACATGTTATATTGGTAGCAAAGGAGTTATTAATTTAACTAAATTTGTTGGTAGTAATAGTTCTAGTGTATTCTTCTCATTTAAAGATGAAGAAGAACCAGCAGAAGTATTATCTAAATTCAGAGATAAGAAACAACAAGAAGACGAAGATGAGTTAAAAGAATATGAACAACAAAGAAAAGAAACTATGAAAGAAGAACATAGACCAAAAGTAGAAACATTAAAAAAAGAAAAAATTAAAGCAATATGTTATAATAGTCAAAAAGAAATGCCTTCAAAAAATGCATTATACATTAATTCTGATGTAAAAAAATATGCTATTTTATTACCGATTAATGGCAAATTAGTTCCATTTCATGTTGCATATATTAAAAATATTACTACAAGAGAAGGATTTTTCCGTATTAATTTTAATGTTCCTAGAGAGACTGAAGAAGGAACAGTTTATGTAAAAGAATTATCGTTTCATGTAAGAGATTCAGATAGAATTTCAAGAATAGAAAATGACTGGAAAGAAATGAAAAAAAAGTGGAATGAAGAAGAGAAGATTAGGAATATTAGAGGAATGAAAGAAGAGAAATTGGTGTTAAGAAAAGAAAGTGTTCCAATACTTAGATCAGTTTGTATTAATCCAGTGTTAAAAGGAAAAAGAACTGAAGGTATTCTTGAAGCACACATGAATGGATTTAGATTTGTTTCATCAGGTGGAAATGTAGAACTAATGTATGATAATATTCAACACGCCTTTTTCCAAAACGGTGATACAGAAACAGTTATATTATTACATTTTCATATGGACCCACCAGTTATTATTCAAAACAGGCCTATATCAGACATTCAATTTTATAATGAAATTATGGATATTTCACTTAATATTGATCGTGGAGATAGGTATTATAGCGAAGCAGAAGAAGCAAGAGAAGAAGAAAGAGAAAAAAGAATTCGTGCAAAATATAATCATTTATATGCTGAATTCTTAACAAAAGTAAAAGAAAAAGATATTCCTGTTAGTTTTGAAGTTCCTTTCAGAGAATTAAAGTTTGGAGGAACAATCAAAAGAAATACAGCCACTTTAGTTCCAACTGTTAAATGTCTTATTAATATTTCTGATGCACCGTATAAGGTTATTGAATTAGATACAATAGAAGTTGTGGTATTTGAAAGATTATCAAGAAGCCTTACATTAAAAAATTTTGATATGGTTGTAATTTTTAAAGACCATCACAAACCAGTATTACAAATTAGTTCAGTTTCAAAAACTGATTTAGACCATATCAAAAAATGGTTAAATAAATGTGAAATCAAAAGTTATGAAACAGTCCAGAGTTTAAATTGGGTAAATATTATGGAAGCGGTTAATTCAGATCCAGTAGCTTTTGCTGAGAAAGGTTGGTCATTCTTAGATGCAGACAATACAAAATCTGATAGTGAAGAATCAGAAGAAGTCTTTGAACCTGATGAAGAGTTAGAAAAAGAATTAGATGCAGAGGATGACCTTTCTACTGATCTTTCAAGTGAAGAGGAATCAAGCTCAAGCAGTGAAGAAGAGGATGATGATGGAGAAAGTTGGTCTGATCTAGAAAGAGAAGCTATTAAAGACGATCTTGTCAAAGACAGAGAAGAACATGAGATGATAGGTAGAGCTCAAATGATGAAACAACGTCAAAGAGTTCAACAAAGAAGACCATCACAACAACGAAGCACTACAATACAAAATTTCTTCAAGAAAACATCAACAACTCCAACAACATCCTCTTCTAATAATTCTAGATTACAACCGATTAAAATTAATAAAGCATTTGTTCCTACAAAGAAGCCAAGTAACTTAGGAGGGATAAAACGTCCATTCTCAAGTAATTATGCAGGAACGAAGAAACCTTAAATGAATGACATTTTTATTTTTTTATTGTTTTTTCTTTTATATTGTTTTTGATACTAATTCATAACAGAACTTATTATTAAAGAAGAATTAAGAAATAAGATTAGTTGTGGAAGAAATGGATTGGATAGGATATTATATTCTTGGAGTCACTACTGCTATTATTGTTGTCTTCTTAATGATTGTGACATTCCTTACATGGCTCTTCATATCTCGTTGTTGGAAGAATAAATACACAGAAAGTGAAATACCAAATGATCCTTTTGCTGAAGTAAATTACACAGCAGTTCAAGAAGATGATGATTTGCCATTAAATGGTAATGTTTGTTTTTATTTTAGTTATATATAACGATATTTAATAATAAAACTAATAGTAAAGTAAATAAATTAAAGTAATTAGTTTTATTGTTTAATTTATTTTTAAAAAAAAATTAGGTTTTTAAAATTAAAGAAAATCTTTTTAAAAAAACAAACATAGTAGAAATGTCATTGATAGACAAAATGAACAGTGATGAATATGAAATGGTATTGATCACCTACCCACGCTCATATGATATATCAAAAATTAAACAATTAACTTATAACTCTAAAGGTAAAAAAAATACTGTAGTTCCTATGGAAAAGACTTCATACCAAAATGTTATTCCATTGGTTAATAATAAGAAAAAGATGTCAGTTTCAAAACCATTTGTTGATGGATTTGAAGTTATTATTCCTGGAGAAAATGAAGAGCCAGAAAAAGAAGAAGACATTGATTTCTTTCATTCAACAAAAGAGCCCAAATATCATTTTGTTGATTGGCGTAATATCACTGTTCAAAGTAAACCAGAATGGCTAACCCTATGTAAAAAATCTGAGCCAAGTCTTACTAAACAAAAAGAAGTTAAACAAAAGAAATTATCTAAAACAGAACCTAAGAAGGAATCATTGAGTGAAAAAATTAAACGTAGGAATACAAAAATATCATCATCTTCTTCGTCTTCTTCTGACTCAGAATAAAAAGGCTATGTTTTATAAACAAAAACCTCTCTTTAAAGGAATGAATTGGAATTATTTTTATATGTCTATTTTTTCACATCTTCTGATTGTTATATTTTATGTTGTGAATTATAAATGTGAAAAATAGTAAGTACAATTAATTTATTCTGAGTCAAGACTTGAGTTGAGATAATACCTTGTTATATTCTTTTGACCAAATTCTCCTGTTAGAATTGAATGGATTAAATTCTGTGCCTCTCCTACACGTTCTTTATCACAGTTAAAGAATAAATAACCATATATCGTTCCATTTTTAATACAACACTCTCCAAATTCTACTACAGAAAGACGAAGTTGTTCTAATACATATTTTTTATTATCAGAGGCAATAGCAAGAGTAACAAGTTCTTTTTGATACTCTTTTTTATCCCGAGCTTGAAGAATAAATGGTGTGGAATAAAAAGGACCTCCAGGAAGGTCAAGACATAAACATATCCTTGAATGTTGATGATTTCTTGAAGAAGAACAATATGATTTGCAACAATTAAACGAGTATTTTTCTAAACCATCTTTTAGAGTAGATGGTCCTATTTGAAGTTCATCATAATGGTCAATTTCAACTAATGCCCGATCTGGATGACAAATTGAACATGCTGGTATTATTTCTCTGTCGGTCTCTTTTACACATGTCATTGCAAAACAAGCTTTAATTATTTGTTGAGAAGAAAGGTGGTGATATTCTCTCCATGATGTGGATAAAGTAATCGTTGTTGTAAAATTACGGTGGCGATATACTGTTTGTGTTGAAATTGCTAATTGAGGTGGTTTTAAATCAGTTGGTATTTTGGTTGAAATGTGTAAGTATGGATACATTAATAGAAAAATAAATAAAGTAGAATACCCTAATTATCGTATTTTCAGTTTCAAAATTGAGTATATCGAACGAACTTTGTTCTATTTTTGTTAGTGTCGTATTCTAAGATTTTTATTTTATTCAATGCTAACTTCTTTTATCGATTCAAAAACAAGAATCATGGATTAATATTCAAAGTTATTAAAAATGGAATTTCTCTCTTTCGTTTTTTGAAATTTCTCATTTGTAGTACAAAAGTTAATAAAAACTTTTTAAAACAAAGATATAATATTTAAAGATAAGAGTATGTTTCAATTATTTTAACACTCCTCAATTAGACTCTTAATGTACTTTGTATTGACATAGTTCTTATCCAAATCTAATGACCAGAACATAACACCTCCAAGTTTTTTCTTACATAGATAGTCTGCCTTATATTTAAAGGTTTCTTGAGTATCAAAAGAGAACCATTGGTCGTTTTTGTATCCATACATTGTCTTTGATTTTGAATCAAATTTAATATTTTCTTGTGGAATCAAAGCATCTATTTCATACTTAGACAAATATCCATTTTCTCCTGTACAAGTTCCACTTTTACTAGCTCCTGTTGCATTAGATCCCATTTCATGATCAGAACTTGATTTTAATGTCCAACCTCGTCCATAATGAGCCATTCCTAACATAATTTTAGTTGATGGAACCCCAGCATTTAAGTAAGCTGTAACAGCGTCATCAACAGAAATTCCATCAGTGGCATATAATGCAGTATGAGGTCCTGTAACTGAGTCCCATGATCCGTGAAGGTCATATGTCATTAAATTAATCCAATCTAAGTATTTATAGAATTTACTTATTTCAATGTTTTTAATGTTCCATGGACCAGCAGGTGCAGCAATTGTCAACAATAGTTTGGATTTCCCATTACCTGCTTCTTTGTCTATAGCTTCTCTGAACTCTTTTAATAATAATGTGAATGACTGTGTATCTACAGGCCTTCCACCTTGGTCTTCATTTGCAGGATATTCCCAATCAATATCAATTCCATCAAGGTTGTATTTTCTTGCAAAATTCATTGCACTTTTAATAAATGTGGCACGAGTTGCTTGCTTTTCTGCCATTTGACTATAAAGATGTTTTGTTGAATCATAGAAATTAAAATTCCATCCTCCAATTGAAGCAAGAACTTTGAGATTAGGATTTCTTGATTTCATTGCAACAATTTTTGGGATCATTTGGTCATCATTCCACTCATACTCCTTAACTGTATAGGTTGAATCAAAAACAACAAAGGCGTAATTGATTACATCCACAATTGTTGGGTCGATATTATCTGTTGTGTATTTACAAGTCCATCCATCAATTGAATTGAATCTGTACTGTGCCCAATTAGTATAGTAAGCAACTGTTTTCTTTGGGACACTAACTTCTGGCTCAGAAGATTCATGTTTAGACTCAGAGGAATCTGGTTTGACTTCAGAAGATTCATGTTTAGATTCAGAAGAATCTGGTTTAACTTCAGAAGAATCTGGTTTAACTTCAGAAGAATCTGGTTTACAGTCAGAAGAATCTGGTTTAATTTCAGAAGAGTCTAGTTTACAATCAGAAGAATCTGGTTTAATTTCAGAAGAATCTGGTTTAATTTCAGAAGAATCTGGTTTAATTTCAGAAGAATCTGGTTTAATTTCAGAAGAATCTGGTTTAATTTCAGAAGAATCTGGTTTAATTTCAGAAGAATCTGGTTTAGTATCAGAAGATTCATGTTTAGATTCAGAAGAATCTGGTTTAGTATCAGAAGAGTCTGGTAACTTCTCAAAGAAATCACCTGGCTTTTTTTCACAATCAGGAAGATCAAGGAAACTCCAAACACAAGGGTTATATTGTGTTCTACCACATTTACAAACAGTTTCTCCAAGGCATTTACCTGGTGTTCCTTCTGTTGTTCCATGACACCAAAGATAATTTTTATTATCGGTACAATAAAATCCGTTAGAAAGACCTTCACAATTGTAAGCGTTTGCCATGTAAGTGAGATAAATTAATGCCAGTAGCGACATTGGTGATTAATGTTTTTTAATTTATTATAAAGTCCTTTTATATTAACCACTTTTCGTCTGAAAAAAAGAGATATGATTATCACAATGACTGTTACTAATTTCTTTTCATTTTAGATATTATGATATATTCATTAAAGCATAATGACTTTCTTTTCATTTTATTTAGTTATTTTTTATTTAGATTTTTTTTTAAATTTAACTTGAAAATCATAACTTGAAATGACATGGCAAGAGTATGTAGATGTTGAATTAATTGGTTCTGGATATTGTAAAAGTGCAGTGATAATTGGGATGGATGGAACTGAAAATGCAGTTTCACTTCATTGTCATTTAGAAAAGAATGAAATTGCAAATTTAATATCATTGTTTGGTGATTCTAAGAAGAGACAAGCAGGAATGAAATTAAAACTTAAAGGGACGGGGTGTATTATTCAGTATGGAGGTGATAGAACAATCACCGCCATGTCAGAAAAAGAAGATGAAGGTTTTGTTATTGTAAAAACAAAACAAGTAATAATTGTTGCGACGTATGGAGACTATATGAAAGAAGAACAATGCCTTTTAGTTGTTGAAAAATTAGCTGATTATCTAATTCAAAAAGGTTTTTAGATAAAAAAAAATTTATTTAAGACAAAGAAAATATAACAAAAATAAAAGAGAAATGATGAATTAGAAGAGTTATTACATATATCAATATAATTATCGAATTCTGATGAAATAAATTCTAAACCAGTTTTATTTTTAGAATTAGTTAAAGAAGAAAGAGAACCAATAATCGAATGAAGTTTGTTAAGTTGAGATAAAGTAAATACTGATGTCACTTTATTAATGTCAATAGCATCAATCAATGAACGAAGAGAGTGAAGAAGAGAATTGATATTACTCTCTTCTTTGAAATCACAAAAATCTATTAAATTAATAAAATAAGTAATTGTTAATGTGTTATATATTGAAGTTGGTATAAATTCAAATAAGTAATTAAAAACCATTGATAAATAAGGAAATAACTGAGGAACGTTGATTGAAAATAAAGAATTTAATAAAGTAGGTATTTCATGAATAATTTCATTTCTTTTAACAGCAATAATTGAAATAATTAATTCAATAAAAATGATGGCACTATTTTCTGAGTCTATAGTATTAATAAATGGAAGTAAATAAGGAATTAAATTGATATGAATTGAAATTAAAGAGATATTAGAAATTAGTAATTTCTGTAAAGTAATATTAGTATTATACAATAAAACATTTATTATATCTTTGATTAGTACTTTTATTTTCTCTTCATTAAAGTGCAGAGTTTTTTGTTTGACTAGTTCAAGACGTAATTTATTAAGAAGAATCATATTATCATTATCATTATTTTTTGTAATATTTTCTATATCTCTTTCTAATTCTTCACTTTTTAAAGAATTTGATGGTAGAATACTTAAAAACTCTATGACTGATGAGTACATACTTCCATCTTTCTCAACAATAGAAGGTAAAAGCTCATTAATAGTATTTTGATGATAAATAATTGATGTACTGTTTTTCCATTCATCCATTAAATAATTGATATAATTCATAACAATATTAATATTTGGAGATTTTTCTAATAAAATATGAAATACATTAATGTATTCTATTGAATTTTCTTTTAATTGTTTCGTTTGATTTAATAAAGTAATTACAATGATACAATCATTTTCTGTTGTAATAATTTGACACCAATTGAGTAATAGTTGTATTTGTTGTTCATGAGATAGGGTTAAATAAATTTTCTGAATAATTTCATTAATGTCATGGTCTAATTCTTCTTTTTGAATGATAGATTCATTCTTTTGTATCTCTTTGATAATATTGGAGTATTCTTCAAGTAATTTGAAATAATAACAATTTAATGAAATAATACTGTTCTTTATTTCTTCTTCATTGTCTTGAAAAAGAATGCTATTATGATAATACTTTACCAACTCAATAATACTTATAACCATTTCACTGTTAAATTCTGTTTGTTTAAGTTTATATTGAAAATCATCAAATAAAACATTTGCAACATTAATAAAACATTCAACTGTTTTTATTTCATTAGGAATTTGTTCTCGTTCTTTAAAAGAGAATTTTGTTCTAGTTAATTCTCTTTGATAAATAATATGGTTTAATCTTTTTAGAGGTTGAATAGCATTTTTATTAATACAGTCTTCTAAATGAGATGCTGGCAATACAATAAAATACAATAGATTTATTTCATTTTTTGGAAGAAGATTTGAATCAATTAAGTTTTGATAATTATTGAGTATATATGAATAAAACAATGGTTGGTCTTCTTTGAGAAATAGTTGGTTCATAATAAACATTGCCATTTCTTCCGGTATTTCTTGAAACTCTTTTTCAGAAAAATATATAAGAAGATATACCAATCCATTGCATTCAGTAATAAGATAAAATAACTCTTTTTGAATAATATTTCTTTGTTCCGTATTTTGGATAATTAGTTGAATAAGACTTTTAACACTTAATTCAAGATCAAAAAAAGGTCTAAGGGTTTTTAATTCATATTGGTCCAATCCGATGTCAAGAATAGCAGCATAAATATATTTCATATACTCTTTTATTATTATATTCATATTTTCTATTTTAATATTTGGTAGTATTGAATTTATGATTTGTTTTAGTTTGTTAGTATCTCTTTTTGGTTTTATTTTTATAACAAATGTGTTATCCCCTATGAATTCTTCATCGTCTTGTTCTACATGAATTTTCGTTAAATTTGGAATGATCCCCCATTGAATTATTGTTTCAACCATTTCAATAATATGTTTTTGTGTAAAAATTGGTATGTCCTTATCTTCTTCGGTTTTATTTTCATTTTTCTTGAAATCTGAGATAATTTGATTAAAAACAATAATAATATTCTCAATAAAAACATCTTTTACATCATACTTTTGAATCATCTTTTGAATTCTTTGTTTCCTATCCTCTTCTTTTTCAATTTTGTTAGTTCGAAAATCGATAAATTTAATACAACTATCTGCAACAACTTCTTCAGGAATATGTGATTTATATGTTGGTTCCATTAAAATTTCAATTAATTTTTTTGTGTTATCTTCCATTAACAAAGAAAATTACTCTTACTGAGTTCATTTAGAAGTTTTCTTCTTCTTCATAAAAACAAAAAATAAACTAAACCTGTTTTATAAAAAGATAGTAAATTATCTTATTAAAAAAAAGCAATGATATTTTAATATTTGAGTCCAACTTCCATTAAACAAAATAACCCAAAATAAAACTCTTAAATTCAAAATCCCTTTTGTTGAATCAAATCAACATTTAATAAAAAAAAATTGGTTTAATAGAATGAAGAAATAAATAGAACTTCTTGGGTTTCATGAAACCAAGAAGTAAACCACTGACTTGAAAAGGGATGTAAGTGTAGTTTGACTACAAAAGATAATTCAAGACTGAAAAGGCAAGAGACAGAACTACAAAACTATATTATTAATAGGATAATGAACATGATATTCTTCTTTGGTTTACTTTGTTGTATTGTAAAAGCTGATTTATTTTTATTTGATAAATTCGATTTAATTGAAGAGCTTTCTTTTGGAGGTCATTTATATGACTCTTTGGGAGAAGAACAAGATGATGAAGCATTAGATGCTTTTATGACATTATTTGATACAAATGATTTCTTGTTGGCTGATACTATAAAGGGAAAACGATGGAAAAATGCTCGAGTAAAGATGGCAAATAAAATTGATAAAGCAAAAATCCGTGTAGTAAGAAAAGCAGAGAATGCTGCTGCTAATATTAAGGGTGCACTAACTGATGTCCTTGAAGAATCAACAGAGTGGATGGCTAAAAATGGAGATGCTGTTGTTGAAGTTTTGGAGAAGGTTGAAAAAGTTGCAGATGTAGCTAGTAAAACAGCTGGTGTTGTTGGAATTGTTGCTACAGCATGTACACCAATGTTCCCTCCTGCAGCTGGTGTTGCTGGTACTGCAATAGCAGTTTCTCAAGTGGCTAAAG